TCGTGCCTTATGGTAACCCTCGCGTTATTAATAGAAGAAACCAGACTCGTAGGAAAATAGGTCTTTATTTTATTCTTCGCGCAGTCAACGAGGAGCGTGGGATCTTACTCAGACAAACAAAACCTCTCAACAAGCAATATAAGATAGTTAGAAATATAACGCCTAAACAAAATAAAGAAGTGAATAAATATCTAAACTATGCTGTTTTGATATATGCTTAGTTGCTTGAGATTAACTATTAACAACCAACTTAAGCTGTTACAAGTCCATTAAAACCAATGTGGTCAGCATCCAATGTCGAAAACTTACAGAGCTATTTATTCTGGAGATTTATTTACCACTACAAGGTCTTCCTCGAAAGCGGATCCAACAGGTCATGTTGCTCCACAGCTTCACACCAACATTTTGACTCTTAAGAATGGCGTTTTATTCTCTGAGCTCGTTGGTTTAGTTGTGAAGCTTTCTTAATTCTTCGGAACGACATCATCAATGCAAACCTCAGGTAATGTAGCCCAGAGGAGCGATGAAGGCTTCATGACCAAAGCATGAAGCTCAGAGAACAAAACTCCATCAAAATCACCCACCTGAGCTACAAATCCCAACCATCTTAGAATCAAATATTGCCTATTTCTCCTGTTTTGCGGAGAAAGTTGTTATTATCCCCAAAGGTCGAACTTTGCGGGAAATACATAAAATCTCATGACTTCAAGTCAGAAGTACTATTAGTTTCGTCTAAATTTAATTCAGAAATATACTTTCACCAGCATCATACGACAAGGAAGAAAAACAGACAGGAACTCACGTAATCTTTCTCCCTTATTTCGCCTCGCTACTTGTTTGGGATATCTGTCTGCTTAATTCTACTGACAAGTCAAGACTGAGTTTTAGCTGACAGAAAGGTCTAAGTAGTTTACGGCTCACAACATCGATAATATTCTCTCGATAGATATTTGTTCATCTCTCAACACGGATTCATAACAATAAAGTCTCTGTGAACCATACATTTTTTTCACAGCGATTGAATGTTTGATTCAGTTCATAACATAACATTTGGTTCACTGAAGAAGTTACTCATTCACCAAAAAGTGATTGAGGATTGATAATCGCGATCTTATAAAAGCAACGTTACATTCCTCGTGACCGTTAAGCGCTTAACCTTCAAGTCCTATTTATCTTAGCAACAGTGTAAATTAGGGACAGACCTAATGTTTATTATTATCTCCAAAGTATTAGAGACTGCAAAATGATTAGACGGATCATTTGTCAGTTGTGCATTTGTACTTATCTGTGTTTGTTGTCATCAGACGAACTTGTTATGAAGCGGTGTAGACACGATTAAAATCCACAGTCTTACAGTAGTTACCATCGCTTACTCAATACCTTCATGTTATGTCCCTTTTATTTGGGGGGGATTGGCTAGAAAACCTAGGTTATTGAGTGTGTATAACTCATGGTGTTATTCCCCTCATTCGTCATCAAAGTTAATGACTCAGGCTTATAGGCTAAAACCCTCGGGATTTTAAAGTGCCGGGGGTTAAATGGCAGACCCTTGTATTCCGAAAAAGGAGTGAAAGATCCTAGCAATTTTGATGGAGTTTTGTTCTCTGAGCTGGATGGTCTGAACGTGGATCTTTCATCGTTATTCTGAACGACATCATCAACACAAACTTCAGTGAAGTGTTCGAATTTAGATGGTGGTTGAAGATAGTCGACAGGAAACCCTAGACCCGGGTTTCGTGCTACTTGGCACTTGTCAGCAAGAGTACCTGTATTCTTGAGGGAACTGGTGCTCTCTGACGGATTCGATCCCATATCATCCAGCTTCACAGTCAGAGATGTTACTACTGGGCTATTTGGGCGGCTTAGTGATAACGTCTCTGACCGTGAAGCTGGATGATATGGGATCGAATCCGTCAGAGAGCACCAGTTCCCTCAAGATTACAGGTACTCCTTGCTGACAAGTGCCAAGTAGCACGAAACCCGGGTTCAGGGTTTCCTGTCGACTACCTCCAATTGCCATCTAATCTCACAATAGTGCACACAGTGTCGAGTCACCTAGACCGGTGGCCACATTGCAACATGGTCGATAGCATTCGATCTGCACTAAAAAGTACTTGACACATGACATTGGTCACCACCCAGTGACCAACCAATTGTGTGTGTTCACATTTTTCCACATATGACAGTTTGTCTTGTAGACTTCGACGGTGATTGGTTATTGTTAACCTTTAACCTGTCATTGTTTACTTTATTTTGATAGCATCTCCCATTGATTTGATCCTTGGTACTATATTTGTTCGTAATTTATTTGATTTGTTAGTAATTTGGATAGGTTCCGATGTGTTTGTTGGTTACTGGCCGACTTGAGTACCAAGCTTCTGAAAATTCTTTGGTGTTTTTACAATCACTTCTGTCCAAGATCTCAACATTTTCTAGCCTAATGTGTGTCCACATTCATTGATATAAGGGAGGATATGTCACTGCGTTTGACCGCTAATTAATGTTCGTGCAGGAGGAAACGAGGAGGGTGCCCGCTTTATCCGACGTAGTGTTCTTCACAACTGGAACAATTTATTTTGTAGATGATGTTCAGTTTTTCTTTTGTCATTTTATCCTTTGGTGTGCATAGAATTGATTGAAGTGGTTTTGTTGGTGTGTGTGCTGCATCCATTCCAAAAGGCTTCAACAATCTGATACGGTAGGATAACCTGTTTGTTGGTTTCTATACTTGATTTTGTTTGTGCTGATGCATTTAGTTGGTATTTTTTGGTGTTGATTGGGTAGCCGTTCTTTGAAAAGATGGGCATGGGGTTAGCGACCCCATCCCTCAGAAGACTAACTCGCTAAAAAAACGCTAACTAGAAAAAATTCTTTTAAAAGATAGTCTGGATATTTTTCTTCATTTTTCTGCGCTGCAAGTGTGTTGCAGTGTGTCCTTGCCTTCTTGAACAAAGTTTGTATGCAGTTTATTTTGTGAGCTATTGGGTTGTTGCTACTGTGCTTGACGATTTGATCCGTGTGGGTTGGCTTGCGATATACTTGAGTTTTCAGTTTCCATGTGTCGGTTCTGGTGACTAATATATTCAAGAATGGTAGTTTGTTGTTTGACTTCCGTTCCATTATGAATTTGATGTCATCAAAGACGTTGATCAGATTATGGGTGTATTCCAGCTCGCTTTTTTGACGATGATGAATGTGTCGTCCACATAACGAATCCAAATTTTTGGCTTGATCACTGATAAGATCGAGGTTTCCAGTCTCTGCATCACTGCTTCGGTTTTGGGCACCCGGGCAGTATCACAGCCCACACACAAATCAAGATACTTGTGTGGCGCATATCTATTTGGTGCCCTCTCGTACCAATGTTTGTGTTTAAATAATAATTTCTGCATCACTTATTATGTAATAAGTCATGATATGGGTGATCCCATCAGTGTTTCTTTCGTTTGTTCGTAGATTTTGTCATTGAATTGAAAATATGTTATTAAGCATAAATCGATGAGTTATAGTAAACTTTGACCTTGGAGCTTCGTGTACTTTGCGAGATTTGTGTCGTTGGTGAGAAGCAGGGATATCTGTCTCCTTTGCTAAGCTTGGTTCAATTGAGGCGAGTAAGGCTGTTACATAGAAAGATATCATCAATTCGTCGTTTATGATTTGAATGTCCTTAATCTGATTCAGGAATTGTATGGGAGATTTGATGGACTGATTAGATGAATCCGCCAAATGTTTCAATATTCGTGAAATTTCTATTGGCAAATTGTATGCTGGGATTCCAGAGAGTGCTACGATTGGACGTGGTGGGATGTTTAATTTGTGTAGTTTCGGCCTACCGTAGAATCGAGGGAGTACTGGTCCATTGGATTTCATTTTTCATTGATCTCGATTTGATATTTGTCCTGCTTGACAAGCTTGTTTACAGTCCTTGAGATTTAGTTGTCTAATCTTTCGACTGTATTTGTGTTCATCGGTTTGTATACGCTTTCATTTTCAAGTAGTTCCCCGGCTTTCCTGATATATTCTTGTTCATAATCACTAGCTCGTTCTTTGTCCGCTCGAACTGTGACAATATTTTCTATAGTCCTAAGTTCCTTTAATACCTTTTGTTCTTGTGAAGTCAATTGGGTGTTTTTCTTCCATCGGGTTAGCGGAACTATGGTTTGTCTTATTTCCTGTCGAGTTTCTTCACTTATTCCGGCAGTTTTGAGTGATGACTCGAGTGTGGCGAAGAGCTCTAGTTTTGAGGCGTCATTTGTATTTTAAAATTTTTGGAGTATGTACTCTTCTATCCTAGTGATAAACATGCGAGTTAGTCGAGCGAGACGCAAACATGTATAGACTGGGTCTTGTTAATATAACATCGCGAATAGGTCATGTCCTGTAACCTGGGGGTGACTTTTATTTTTTGTAGACAAATGGTATCGCTGCTCCTAAAAGTGCCAAACAAAATAGTAAATTAGTAAATTAATATATTTGTTATATCCCAATGAGTAGAAAAATTAAATTTTCTGACGTTTCGTGACTCAATGTAAGCCACTTCTTCGGAGTATAATTTTTCTACTCATTGGGATATTACAAATATATCAATATATTTATAACAATCTACCTAATGCTCAATTTATTCAAAATTATCAAGTCAAACCCTGGTAATGATACCTACAAAAATAGTAAATTGACCAACATATCCGTAGATATGTGATAGCTAGCTGATCAAAGCGACCTACACTCCAATTTTTTTTGCACTATCTTATTTCAGTGCTTTCCTAGTTCTGTGATATAATATGAGTATGTATTTCTAGTCATTTTCTGAAGCTTTACTTATATGATTAACTTTTTATCCAGACATTTAAATATCCATTTTCCCACACTTCAGAGGTTTCGCAGTAGTAGTAGCAGCAACAACAGTTTCTTACAATATATTACTAATTACCATTAAGTTACTTCGTTTCTCAAGTTTAACATCTCACTACTGTCGAAGTTTGACAGTGCGACTACCGTCAATGAAGACAGAGCATATTTTCATTCCACAATTTAATCCCGTCGTCGGAAGAATGCAATGGAAAGATGTAGATCCAGATTATGAATTTAACCAAGAAATAGCTCGATCTGGATATGGTGATATGCTTCATGATTCCGATCGAAATCATAAGTATCGATTAGCTATCGAACACACCATTAAACGTCTTAAACAGCAGTATCCAAAAAATCCTGTCCATGTGCTCGATATTGGAACTGGAACTGGTCTACTGAGTATGATGGCTGCTAATGCTGGAGCTGATTTAGTTACTGCCTGTGAATCCTTTCTTCCAATGGCAACATGCGCACTCAATATATTACGGAACAATGGGTTTAGTGACAAAATTAACGTCATACCGAAACGCTCCACTGATTTAATTGTTGGAGTAGATATGCCGTGCAAAGCTAACGTGTTGGTTGCAGAATTATTTGATACCGAATTAATTGGTGAAGGTGCCTTAGAAACATACAGACACGCAGCTGAGCACTTACTAACACCCGATGCTTCTCTTATTCCATGTGCTGCTCAAGTTTATTTACAGGTGAGGTAATAGATTTTAAACTACAAATCTTAAGGCTTAAACTTGTTTGATAACAGTCGTAATTTTACAGTTAACTGTGGGTAGATGTTTCATTCCATTCAACCAACCAGACATGTGTATAAATGATATACTATTCATTACACTTGACACCAATGAATCCGACCGTTGTTGTTACCTTGACGTGGTGGTCGGACTTGCCTATCGTGATGAACCGATTGAGCTATACTAGCGGGAACAATCGTTCCTCAAGGTCCTACCACGCCAGACAGATCGGTTGAAGAACGGTGAGACTAAAAGCAGCAAACCCAAGGTCCGAAGGCGAAGTCTTACTGCTGACTTTACATAGGTGTGACGACAGTAAGGTGTTTCCTTCAGAAAACCAGCATAACAGCGATGCTGCCTCCCACTTATCGACTTAGAATTCGCAGATGATATGGTCCTGTTCGGTGAAGACGCTGACGAAATGCAGTGTCTTTTGGTAGCACTGAGCAACAATACCGGGATGTTTGGGATGCGCTTCTCCCACTCTAAATGCAAGTTGTTGCTCCAGGACTGACCTGCGTCAACATTTGAACTAAGGATAGGGAGTGAAATAGTCGAAGGCGTTGACGACTTCACTTATCTTGGTAGTCTGATCAGCCCTAATGAGTTGGTGTCTGACGAAATCTCTGAACGGGTTTAAAAAGCTCGTTTGGCTTTTGCCAACTTACGTCACCTATGGCGAAGGCGAGATATCCGTTTATCAATTAAGGGACGAGTATACTGCGCGGCAGTTCGTTCTGTTCTACTTTACAGATGCGAAACGTAGCCATTAAGAGTTGAAGATACTCGTAAGCTACTAGTATATGACCACAGATGCCTTAGAAATATTGTTGGTATCACCGGGTAAGTAATATTGAGGTTAGACGCAGGGTATTAAGAGATGATGGTAAATCAGTTGATGAGGTTGTGAATCTTCATCGACTGAGATAGTTGGGCCACGTGTTGCGTATGCCTGAACACTGATTACCACGACGTGCAATGCTGACTAGTGTTGGGTATGTCTGGAAGAAAGTTGGGGGCGGTTAAACCAAAACGTGGCATCAGTGCTTGAAGTCACTAACTTCTGGTCTGAGCCATGTTGTTAGATGCAGATTACTTGGTTGAGGTCCGCGTGACTATCGTAATCATTGGTTGGAGACTGGGTGAAATGGCTCAGAACCGATCACAATGACGTAGGTGTATACACTTCCTGTCTTTCCTTAAACTGAGATTAAAATCGCTTCATATCTTTCTTTCTACGAACTAATTCTTTCTTCCTGTACTATATCTTTATACACAATCTTTCTTTTATACATTACTACCATTGAAGTAACTACTATGAATTCGGTGTTCATTTTGCTGTGCTAATGCGGTGTGGCAACCTGGACCGATGCATATATGTGCGTGGTCCTACGTTGTAGTTGACTGATTGACTGACTGACTGACTGACTGACTGACTGACTGACTGACTGACTGACTGACTGACATCAATGAAGAGGCAAAAAGTCAATGGATGTAGTAGTACACATTGTTTTACTAGCAATAACGAAGAACTATAAGGCAAAAGGCTAAAACCGATTTAGATTCAAAACGTAAACTTCAAAGTAATACCATTTTAAGTAATTAGGGATAGATAAGAAATGAAATCATTTACATCGCTTTGAATAACTGTTAGCTATGTTAGTTTTGTTCACATGACTGAAAACTATATATATTTTCGTGAATTGGTGCAGTAGCTTCTATCGGCTTCCTTTAAGTTTCATTTATCGTCTGGTATCCCTTACAGTTTGTTGTTCTAGTCGCTGATGGTAGAATTTTAACCAGAGATAAGTTGCAAACGTATAGTCTTAAGTCGGTGTGTTGTCAACTCTTAACTTAATGTCTTTTCAGCACTATCTCAATAAGTCGTAGTTCCTAACGGGTAGTCTATATTTTGTCTGAGACTCGTCTAATCTCTAGTCGATTTAGAGTAGCTGTACCTAGAAATTTCTGTTAATTTTGTTCACGATTTTCACTTTTTTGATACCTAACTGTTTTCACCTTGAATGTACCCAGTAAACCATTAAGTTTATTTAACAATGTAATCTTTTTAATCATTTCATTTTCGAAGCTATGTAGGTGATAAATTATAGGTCAGCAAACATTATGTTTGTTAGAATTTGATTAGTTATGTAAAACTCGACTACATTATTTTGAATATATATATATATATATATGCCTGGTCCTACGTTGTAGCTGACTGACTGACTCAACTTCTTCAGGTACTCCTTGTTTATCAGTGGTTTTGTCCAGGGATGTAAAGGATTCTACTTCTTTCAGGGCCTCACCATCAAGTATGATTTAGCTGGTTCTTGCTGCGATATGCTTCAGGATGTTTTGAATAACTCCCGGTCTTTTATACTGTCCAGATATTCCATGTACCCATACTAATTGATGACCTAGTTCTTAGTAGTATTGACCTCGTGTCTTTTGACGGATCTTGGCTCTTGTCATGAACTGTCACAACCCTTCCATATGAAGACCTTTCAACTTATAGGCCAGAGTTTAGGTGGTTTGAATGATTCTATTTGGTTAGCGTTCCTAATAAGGTTGATTTTTACGAGGTGTGGTCACTGACCCTAAACCCCCTTTTACACGGGCTTGATACCAAAAGTAGCCTCAGAGGGCTCCAGGAGGAGTCCGGCGTCTACTACATGTTGCTTTCCTAAGCCATATCGGTTGGCCTATGTCAGTAAACAAAAATGATACTTCGTTGGGCTGACATTTTTGTCCTTTTTGTAAGAAGTTTAGTCATAACACAGCTTCGCCCCACAAAATGCCTTTTAAATACTGGGATTTAGGTTAGGGAAGTGTTTGTGATTAATAAACAAATACCAAAACAAGTGACTCAGTATTTCATGAAATTACTGCGGAAAAACAAGGCTATACTAAAAATACAAATAGAAATAGTTCATATATTTTTTCGTATTGTTTCTAATAAATGAAAAAATAACAATGTTTGATTATTGAACTTAAAGATCTGTTGAACTTCCTCAGCTTTCTTAGGTTTCACATTTATTTACTATTTATTTATTTATTTGAACACATAAATATTGGTACAGGGGGGCACCAAATATATATGCGCCACACAAAACAATGATAATTTGAAGAGAAAGGAGAAAAAAAAGAAAGAGAACAATAATGGGGGAAACGGAAAGGTACACTCAGAAAAAATCTTTCAGTTAAGGAAAAAGCAACCACTTTTTATGAAGAAAGTAAAAGAAGGTTACAGCAAGATCTCCATTGGCTTCTATTCTGAGCCATATCTGATAACGTCTCTAGCCACTGTGTTACACCGTCTCTCGGACCCCAACCAGGGAGTCGTGAAGGACCAACAGAAGCTAGCCCTTTGCAGCTTTCTTTCATACCACGACACCATGTCATATACTGACCACCTCTCCGCTTTTTCAAACCAGTCCCAGAGTCGGCAAATAATGCACGACGAGGAATTCTCTGGGACGACATTCGTAGAACATATCCATGCCACCGAAGTCGATGTTTCAAGATGGTGACACCAATTGCATTATCGTCTCTGTGCCCGAACACGATGTCGAACCTCTGCATTACTAACATGGTGTTGCCACTGAATGTCAGCAATCCTTCGGAGACAACGGTGATCGAACACGGAGTCGTCTAACATCCTCAACTCATAGAGACCAGGCTTCACAAGCATAGAGCAAAACTGCTCTCACCGACGCGCTGTAGATCCGACCTTTTACAGCCAGACTGACCCCGAGGGCGCCAAAGATGGCCCAGATTGGCATAAGCCGCTCTGGCTTTCACTATACGTGCATTGATCTCATCACTCACGCCACCAGCACTTATGCAGCTACCCAGATACACGAACTTCTCGACTACTTCTATCTGCTCACCATCCAGAGTGAGTACAGGATTAGAATCCTACCAGTCTTGTAGAAGTACTTTGCACTTCGAAGGTGCAAAGCACATACCATACCTACGGACATTGATTGCCAACTGATTAAGTGCGAATTGCATGGCTTGGGCATTCTCGCACAGTAAGACAATATCATCCGCATATTCAAGCGAATGTCCGGCGCTTTAACCGGATCCCAAATCAATGGTGCACATGGGCTCCAGTATCCTGAAGGAACAAATGGCGTATGAACCAATCTTTGGTCACCGGCTACCATGGGACTGCATCTCTCTACGATGCTCCACTGCTTTGTGGGTCAGACATTCAGGTCGAAGGCTCGGGGTGTGGCCCCTAAGAAAACCACCTGCTTCGGTTTGGGCACCCGGGCAGTATCACAGCCCTCACACATATCAAATGAGATTTGTGTGGCGCATATGTATTTTGTGCCTCCTTGTACCAATATCTATGTGTTAAAATAAATGATTATAATTATACTTAAGGTCGAGAAGACTTTCTCCAGGTAACAGATCCACACCACCATTACTTACATCCGTCAGAGCTGTTTCCAGAATGTCATCAATGGCAAAGTTGAAGAGGAGCGGTGAGATTGAGCAACCCTGTCTAACCCCACTGCTTGAATGGAACAATGAAGAAAGGTGGTTGTATGCCCTCACTCTGCCTGAGGTGTTTGTGTATAGAGCTTAAAGGATGTTAATAAACTTCTCAGACACACCCTTCTTCAATAGACAATCCCAGAGAATAGTTCTGTCCAACGAATCGAAGGCAGCCCTGATGTCAAGAAACACCAGGATTGTTGGCCTTTGATAAGTATGGCGGTGTTCTAACATTTGGCGGAGGGTGAAGATATGATCAATACATCCTCGACCGGAACGAAACCCAGCCTGCTCCTCGCGAGTCAATCCTTCTCGAGTTTTGAACAACCTATGAAGTATAACGGAAGCCAATAGCTTGGACGCAATCGGAAGTAGACTTATCCCCCGATAATTGTTACAGGAACGACGTGAACCCTTTCTAAAGATAGGGACAACTACCGGCTCACTCCATGACGTTGGTACGCTCTCCAGTTCCCAGACTTTCGTAAACAACACAATCAGTTACTTAGTCAGAATGTCACCACCATCTTTAGAAAGAGCCGGAGGTAAGTCGTCTGAGCCCGGTGATTTGTAACGCTTCAAGAGTTGGAGTTCCTTGCGGACTTCCGCCTCATTTGGTGGATCAGTCGTCACTGGCCATGGAGGGCAGGACAGTCTGACCGATGTTGCCGGAGCAGCAGGCCAGTTGAACTGCCCTTCGGAGAATTCTGCCCATCGTCCAAGACGTCGATGAATGTTAGTGATTGGCGTTCCGTCATCTTCGCAGATTGTTTCGCTCACACCAGACTTCTTGCTGCTAGTTGCTCGGATGAGTTGGAAGAGCTTCCGGTAATTACCAGATGCAGCTGCTGCTTCCAGCTCATTAGCACGCTCCGAACACCAGGCTTCTCGGTCCTTACGCAAACCTTGCTCGATTTCATTACGTGACATCCTTCGTTTGTGGTCAAACTCACGGTCACCCGGAGTAGACCGACGGGCTTCAATCAGTTGTAAGGAACCAGAAGAAACCCAGTGCTTGTAAGCGGGACGATTCACGAATCCATAACAGACTGTACCCGCCATTTTCATGGCGTCATGCAATTGCAACCAATGCTCATCTATACTTTTCGGTGGAATGGTAGCTAGCCTGGAAGCTAGCTCGGTTCGGTACTTACTAGCAACAGAAGTTGCAGCCAGCTTGCTAACATCAATCCTTTGGTGGCGGTCACTTCGTTGTCCACTGAAAAGTAAGGTAAGATTGGCGCAGACCAGAGCATGATCGGAGTCAGTCAGTCAGTCTTGAGTGCTGTTAGAGGTATGAGGGCGGTTATCACTTCCTGGTTGCCCACACTGTGGAAGGGTTCTGCTGGAGGTACCTGAAAAGGAAATTGGATTAGAGGTGGTCATAGTGACCTGAGGGCGTGACCGCAGTGCCCAAGGGACAGCTGCTTGAGGTCGGTCACACACGACCTTTTTATAAGTAATTTTTGTGTTAGCTCCGTACTTGTTGAGACCTTACCGCCGGAGACGGATATCCGTGAGATAAGGCGAGGTGTGCATTTTTAGGGTCGACCTTTTCTAACCCCTCCCCTCCTTTTGGGAAGGCAGCATCGCTGTCATGCTGGTTGTCTGAAGGAAACACCTTACTGCTGTCACACCTCTGTACAGTCAGCAGTACGACTTCGCCTTCTGACCTAGGTTTTGTTGCTTTTAGTCTTACCGCTCTTCAACCGACCTGTCTGGCATGGTAGGACCTTGAGGAACGGTTGTTCCAGCCAGTATAGCTTAGTTGCTTCATCACGATAGGCAAGCCCGACCACCACGTCAAGGTAGCAACAACGGTCAGGGATGATCGGAGTCCAGATAGGTACTCCAAAAGGAGCGGCAGTCTTGTGTACAACCACGCCAGCGGTAGCTGTTCGCGATGTGATCAATCTGAGTCCAGGCTAGAGATGCAGAAGGAGGACGCCAGGTGGCGCATCGGAGATGACTGTGCCGAAAGTTAGTGCTAGCCAGAAACAGGTTGTGGTCTGTGCATAGTTGCAGTAGACGTTCCCCGTTATCTGTGCTGCGACCAACGAGTCCCCATCGGCCACCTAAACGACTCTCTTTTGTGCCTAGACGCCCGACCTGAGCATTCAAGTCTCCGGCTAGTACTACGATATCTGTCGAACGCACTTTCTGGAGAAGAACAGTTAACTGGTGGTAGAACTCATCCTTGATTGCATCCGGGCTTCAATCTGTCGGGGCATAGGCGGAGATGACGAAAAGACGTCGTTTCTCACTCCGATTTCTCAATTTTATGGAACGTTCTAATCTAACAGCACATAACCGACTGTTAATGGGGATCCAGTAGATTAGTGCTGCCTCAGCTCTAGCGCTTAGTGCGACACCAACGCCAGCAAGACCAGACGAAGATGCCACATGGTCCCCGGATAAACGCACGTAAAACAAGATTTTTGAAGCGACAGGTGGAGAGCGAGCTTGTGGTACTTCACCAGAGTCTTGAATACGGGTCTTGGATAGACAACGCACGTCAATATTAAGACTTTCCAAAGACATAGCCAGCCCTATCTGTTTTCCGACCTGCATAAGTGTGCGAACGTTGAAGGCAGCCAGTTTGAATGGTGCACGTGGTTTCAGAAAAACTGCTTCAGTACTCGTATTCGGTGGTAACATACAATTTCCAACCAGGCAGTGACTCGAGAGCGTTTAGATAGAGCCGAATTTTCACCATAGGCGAGCTGTTGTATAAGTCGAAAAGTAAGGATAGACAGAGTGGAAATAGAAGAGAGTCAATAGATGACGTGGTAAATAATAATAATAATAATAGTGTTGCGAGTCATTTCAGTGTAAATCAGAGCGAAAAGAGTATTTTCGATAAGTAGACAGTTCATCATGTTTTAGTGCGTAGGCTGGGATACTGCCCGGGTGCCCAAACCGAAGCAGGTGGTTTTCTTAGGAAGCCACACCCCGAGCCTTTGACCCAAGGGTCTAGTCCACAAGGCAGTGGAGCATCGTGAGGAGATGCAGTCCCATGGATGCCGGTGACCAACGATTGGTTCATACGCCATTTGTTCCTTCAGGATACTGGAGCCCATGTGCACCATTGATTTGGGATCCGGTTATAGCGCCGGACATTCGCTTTTCGTCCTCTCATTTTCGTAAACAACACCCCCGCCACGAGAAGGCAGTGAGTAGGACTTCCCTGGCAGAGGCTGTATACGCGTGGCCGTGTGAGGGTATTTCGAGAGGGAGGGCGAACCCTCCCCACTCTCGGCCATACCAGGGCATTTGGGGGCAGATCATGGTGTTGTATGTTATGCGGACATCTAGATTTATGGATACGTGCCTCTACTGCTCTTAAAAAATAAAATATAATATTGTGGATTGTCCCCCACACATATCATATTTACTACCGAATATAAGTAGAAGCACAGGTTAGTAGCAATTTCAGATGATCCGTTGCACATTCTACTTACGTACAACGTTTGTCTATTAGATTCGATCTGTTCTCTCACACAATCGTTATCTCGACATTAAGAGTCAGAAAGTAAATCTTGGGATAACTGATCTAAACCACTGCCATTCGCTTCCTTATAAGTTTCCCTTGAATTGTCCCTGATAACATGGTGAAAAAGGGGAATCTAATTCACTCTTTGTCAGTGGAATATAGATTGGATTAAAGCATGTTCCTTGCAGGATTATGTTGGGGGCACGCTGATTGGCCATTTCTTAGCCAATCAGCACTGGCGGATGCTTGGAGGAGACTTTAGAATCTTCTCGTGTAAAAAACTATAAATATACTAACGTTTTCCTTATTGTATTTCTTACTTCCATCTACCCTTGTTATTTGGGATATAATTTGGTTCCTATTCAACCATGTTCTGATTTGGGGACTTGTTCAGTGAATTGGTGTCCAAGAATACTGAGCAATAGGACTAGCTGGGTCATAATTAGAGGAATTATAACACTCAGCTTAATCTAATTCCAATCCTAGCTTAGCATTGGAGGTATTCAATTTCCGTTACAACTTATGAAAAGCAAATTAATGTCAACGAGGTTGACATTTTGTTACGGCAAATTATTCAGTGTATGCACTATTCATAGAATTTCAATACAATTTTACAATGTTCTGTGTTAATGACAAATACTCAGTTTAAGCATTTTAATCATTTTTTCATTGACGTATAATCGACAAATTCAGTGTATTTGGATTGGTTATACTGGGTTAACATCGAGAGTTTCATCTACTAAACAGGTGTTTTCACCCTAGTTAGTGGGTCAGGAAAAGAAGAGTAGGAAAATAGTTTTATTTATGGTCTTGAAAACATTGGAGTGAAGTATTAGCACAGTACACAAACGAATCTCTTTAAATATTGGGAACTTATGTAAGGTATTTATTCTGTACATTTGGTGTTAGTAATAGACATCTCAGGAACCCTCTTTACTAACCTTGAGTTATATAGCAAAGTTGTATCATAATGGCCAAAAGTAATGTTAGAGTTACGAACACAAACACTTGAGGCGTAATACATCTACTTCCGTTCAGCTACATGCTTAAAAATAAAGATTAAGTGAAGATTCACTACAACTTTACCACGAACAAAATAACAGTTCAAGGCAATAAATAGAGCATTTATTAATATTTACATAGTGAAGTCTTTGATTACAGGTACTTGTAATTCAGTCCACTTAATTATCGATTTGCTTCAATGTCTTAACTAAACTACCCATTGTTCAGTTAAAATATGAATACTAGATACACTAAGTTTAAGTGTTATGTATAGTTTTAGAATAGTTAGGTTATATCTCATATTTAAGAATAATATTGAAAAACAACAGTTTAGTTGGCCAAAATATTTCACATAGGTTGAAATCTTCAGTACTGTCTAGCCACTAAATCATTCCCTTAAAAGAATATGAAAAACTTTAAATCTACAATGAATACATGGATTAAAAATACTGAACTTTGTGTGTGCCACCACTACGTTCACTTCTTTATCTGTGAGATATATTGATCAAGCAATTGCATCTACCTCATTTTTACCAAAAAAACAAACTGGTGCAGTGGGGGCATCTGTTTTTATTTTAGAGATTACCTTACAATCTAAAAACACCAATCTGTAGTCAGTAGTATTTCTTCTTTTTTCCCTTTTAAGACTAGTTTGTCTAAATTCTGTTCTTACAACTACAGTTCATAGATTAATTTATAAAATCTACATCGACATACAAAACATCAAGTTTTCGAATTGTTTATTATTTAGGTTGTTGAATCTCAATTTCTTTGGTCTCATCATCGTTTATTCCCATTTCAATATAAAATTGGTGATTCGACTATAGATATAAACGAGTTTCAGCATGCAGAAATCGAATCATGCTCAGGACTTCCATCAACATTTGATATTCAAGTATCGGAGATTCAATTAGAAGATAGTCAATTAATTTCATGTGATAGGCACTTACGCTGTCTTTTGAAGAGTCCTCGATTGGTTAAACGATTTAACTTTGGACCACCTGCAGATCTTATCAAATTAAACGATGTGTTAGATTTAGAATGTAAGTTTTTACTCATTTTTAGTAAGCCTACTGCTACATTATTGGGTATGATGAGATTAGTGATTACTTGTCTTTATTTTGAAAAATCACAGATATTTCCGGGCTGCGATTTCACTTCACACAAATAAAGTTAATAGATGCTACAACTTTCCTTTTATTATGATGTAATCAACTGTTTAAGATGGTTTGTAAAATTAGTCCCTCCATAATTACGTTAAAGTAATACGGTGTCAAGCAACCACCTGTTTAGACATGAATCCAAAAGGCAAGGTAATGAGTTAGGCTCTAAAACCTTGTCTATTGTTACCATCACTATAGGTCTTTAAATAAATGAGAGAACTCCGGAATCAATGCCTCTAAAATGATTATGAGTAATTAGCGTCATAAATATTTCTTAATGTGTCATCCAACACAAATACTTAAAATACTGTGGTAAGATTCAACGTTCTGTGGTCTATAAAGTTAAGAAGGATCAGTCATCATTTCCGTTGTGTTGCGTGCTACTTATATTGATATAAGTAGTATATGACTCGGCTTTTATGTCATACTACAAAAGCCATCATCCAGAGGATACAAGTATTTATTAACAGTCGTCTACGCAAAATACTTCAGAGCCGTTGGCCAGACACTATTAGCAACAACTTACTATGGGAGAGAACAAACCAGATCCCAGTGGAGGAAGAAATCAGGAAGAAACGCTGGAAGTGGATAGGACGCACATTGAGGAAAGCACCCAACTGCATCACAAGACAAGCCCTTACATGGAATCCCCAAGGCTAAAGGAAAAGAGGAAGACCAAAAACACATTATTTCGGGAAATGGAGATAGACATGAGAAAAATGAACGAGAATTGGATGGAACTAGCAAGGAAGGCTCAGGACAGAGTGGGATGGCGAATGCTGGTCGGCGGCCTATGCTTCATTAGGAGTAACAGGCGTAAGTAATTAAGTATGTAGTATATGACACGAGTCAGGAATGTAATGTCTGGCAGCAGAAGATGGGGGCGATCAAGAAGGGAAGAGCGGGAATAGAAAGCAATTGGTATGGATGTGCAAGAACAATGAAATCCGAGACAATTATTGGACATTTTGCAAATTAAGTATTATAGTATGGTTTTTCTATTTTACCGAGTAACTCTGTAATTTCGTGCTAAATGTAATTCGGTTGTCCTTATCTGTGTTCTCCTTCACTACACCGTCAGTGGATGCACCTGTGCCATTGCAAACGATTTTGAGCCATGTCATTTAAGATGGTTAGAGACCTTGAATGATATGACTCGAAATCGTTTGCTCTGACTCAGGTGCATCCACTCTTTGTGTTCTCCCAAATTCTAATCTTCTGAATTCTTTATGTATCTCTTTTCCTCTTTCCAAATTTATTTCACCGGATTATACTCTTTGAATAACATCTTCAAACCCTAATCTTTCCGATCACTGCTTATACTCTTACTACCTCTACCGCAATGGGACTTGAATCGACAATTGTATCTCTGTGCTATTATGATATGGCAACTCGAACTGATGTACGCACTCACGAAGTTCTACGTTGTTGACTGACTGACTCCGTCAGTACAGGATTTGTTGTGATAAGTAGTCATTTCATCACTCAACTCTCAGTTTTATGCTACCCTTTCTTTACATGTCCAACTACTGACATCTACGAAACGCCTATACCAGTTTCTTAAACTCACTGTAAATCGTACTTACACATTTAAACGTTCGTATCCTATATCCAGTAGAACATAAAGTCAAAATAATCATTTGGAAAGAGGTAATATACAATATTTCATTATTATTATTTACATGACGTAAGTGACTTTACGGTATCCCAGAATTTTGTGATCATTTTCTGTGGTCTTGTAAGTTTTGGATTGTATTACACTGATGGATTATATGTTTCAGATAAATCGTATGTTTTCGTTACGGTATTTAAGTTAACTAAGCGTTTCCAATCACTACTATTGCTTGTCAAATGCTTTACATCTATTTTCTGCTTAAAAAAATTATTTTTAGGTACTACTTTTGAGTCTGGTACAGCGCATGCATTTATTGTGTGGTGGTCATTACAAATGGAGCCTACAAACACAGTTCCACCAATCAGTGTTGCACCCACTTGGGTAGGAGATCCTAATTCTGCTTGGCGGGATCATTGGATGCAAGCGGTGTACTTTCCCAAGACTGCTCACTATTTAATCAAAAATGAGCCGTTTATGATTAGATATCTTCATGATTCATTGTCCATGCGATTCGACATACTTTCTGTACGTAATTTTAATGCTAAACCTGATACTTCTTCACTTGATGTCCGAAATGAAATGTCCTGCTTATCGTGTTCATGTGATCTTCATCGTGTATGGCCCCGAACGCGCATTTCCGAGTTGAATTCGTCGGATTACAAAACATTTTCCACTAAAATCATTAATTCACTTATTACGGTATCACAAAAATACCCAACTTCATTATTTAATTTATTAATGGTTTCAGATTGTACATATTTACCTTTTTTACTCGGAAAAAGTTTAGCAAAACATGTAAAGCAGTCTCAGTTAGTCCATTTGGATACGTCACCATCATCGTGTTTACTTTTAGATCGTATTTACAAGTCCTTTTCATCGTCCCGGTCGATTATAGAGAGTTGCCAATCGATTGAGGAAGTTTTCTCAAGAATGACTCCTAACATTTTCACAAAAACTAATCCGACTGAATCAACTTTAATTTTGATCAGTGAACCGTACATAAGTTCATCAATACTTCCTTGGGATTCTTTATACTTTTGGTACGCCTTTCAGAACTTGCTTTCACATAACCCAGCTTATTCATCTTTGTATTTATTTAGCCCTGTTAGACTGCGCATCTATGCTATTCTGGTTGACTTCAAATATCTTTGGCGCATTCGTTCGCCAGTTGGATTCACTTGTGAATCTTTTGATCTACGCCCTTTTGATGATTTAGTTTTAAATGCATCGGCTAAAAGTGATGAGTTAATTGAACCACATCCTCTCTGGGAATATCCTAATACGGCTAGATCGGATGCTTGTGTCATTTTTGATATGGTTCTACCAAATAGCTCCGATTTGGGTTCAGATTTCCAGTATGCTGATTCTAAAAAGTTAATTCATTGCAAACAAAACACTTTAACTGCATCATCCTCATCTGTTAATGGTATGGCATTGTGGTGCGAATGGCTCTATAATACCCCTGCTACACACCATTCCAACGAAACTTGGTGGTATGCACCAGCTGGTCCCAACAAAATTACAACTTTAAATGAGCCTATTTCTTGGAAATCTCGTGGAACACAGCAGGGTGTTTTTCTTTTTCCGTCAGAATGGAAGACAAAAATTTCATCAAATAACTTACTACGAATTTCCGCATGTATGGATTTTGATATTTCGACAGGAGTTTTGTCCCCGTCATTTAAAATAATATAAAGATTCCTTACCTTTTTTTCTTACCTTGTTATATTTTGCTGTTTTTGGGGTAAAATCAAACAATTTTTATAAAAATAAGAAGTCTTCCTTAAATCTCCCTATCTTACTCTTATAAGATGGCCGGAAATTATGATGTAAATATTCAAAATCATGAATAACTATCTAGCCAGTGACCTATTGTTTCTTCCGATTCACAGTTGATCATATTTAAATTGACACCGAATCTTGTATATTTTACTTCCCTCCTCTTGCATATAAATCGACATCTCATTGACCTAATTAGTAATTTCCTAACCACTTGTTTTATTTTGCTTTATTCATTTAGTAGGGCTTCGTGATCGATTGCTACTCAATCTCAACAAATCTTAATGTGCTTACTCATTAAGCGGTTCACAGTACTCACGTAGACATAATCAGCATAAGATTTAACACAAATGTTCATTGTTACGAATTACCGTACAAAAAAGAGAAAATCACCAACAGTAATCCTAAAATGTAAGGAGAAATAAGCGAATAAAAACTGTTGTTGAGGAGAAATCACAGACAAGAACATTAACCAAGTGAATACATTTTTCTGTCTAACGAAGTGATTTGTTTGTATATAGAATATGAACAGAAAATAAGCATGATCAATCTATCATAGGTGATTAACGTGAATAAGCTTGTAAGTAATTCATTCTCCAAATAATTAAGAATTGACTGTTAGGCCTAGTCTTCAGGCATCATATCAATTATCTGATGTATAGTGTTAAAATTTAAGGAAGATGAATAATTGTAATGCTAGTTTTGCATCATCGACTACAATGCTTAATGTAAGTTAATCAGCTGTTTGACTTCTAAAAGTATTATTATGTTTACAGTAAATTAAGCCTAAAAAATATTCTGAATTTCTGTAAACTTTCTTAAGAGATTTAACTTAATTATGAAGAGTTGCTACCTTCATATAACCAGATTGCCTGGTAAATTTAAACAGAACAGCCAGGTTTGCTTTATAAAATAAATCCATTCTATCACAGTTTCTCATCAGCTACATACAACCTAAAATTACAATTATTAATCTGATTATTAACATACTTAAGTTTGTGAAGTTTAAATAAATATTGCTACTTTAATTGCAGTATATATAGCTACTTATTCAACCCACTAACATGATTTATTTCTGTGCCTTTCCAGTATTTAAGGCATTAAGTGATCGAAACATCACTAGTTCAAAAAGAACTGTTGGGAGTTTCTTAGTAATGTTTACTCGCTATCGAAAAGTACTCATCTATCTATCTATCCATCCCTATCTGGAAATTAATTTCGTTGCTAATTATTCAACCTGAATCGTTAGATCACAGTATAAATTCTATACCTATATCACTTCATTAAAATTTTTAAGTATCGGATAACCTCATTATAAGAAGAGATGGGTAGTAACTAACAGTAGGGCACAGGATGTGCGCTTAGTTTATTTGTGATCATATCAAGAAACCTGTAGATTTGAGATTCATGCATGTTGACGCTTATCAACAATGTATATTACAACTCTTGACATAGATGCTCCATTAGGTGAAATACTTTGTTTTTTGGAGATATGGGTTTCTCTCCGGATATCGGAGTATGGAAACGTAGGTAAATAGTGGACTTAATTTAAGCGAATTAGAGTGATTGGCATATTTTTGAATGCACATGTGAAAACAATGACGTACCAAATACAATAAAGATGGTTGAAATTATCTACAATGTTTTCCACCTTCAATTAATGTATCGTACTTATCATTTTCAATCACCTTTCCGTTCGTCCACTGAGCGTGTTCTTCGTAGTAGTGGAATTTTTTTGAGACTTCATTTCAAGCCCTAACTTTATATATGCGTGTTTCATCCGGGACGTTGTTTTTTTCTACACCGGTATGATCATAGCATATTGTTCCGAGTGGTTTGATATGCTTAAAATAAAATATTTAAGGGAAATCACAAAATAGAATGCAGCACACCCATCAAATAAATGTCCAAAAGCTCTGGTACTACACCTATGGGGCAGGATTTTGTGGTTCAATAAAATAACTTTCCGATTGTTAAAGTTGTAAAATTCCGATCGATCTGAGATATACAATGGTAGGATTTGGGTGAGTTGATGGCTACTCATGAGACTGAATTTTCGACTTAAGCTCCTGAATGATATGAAGTTAAAGGTATGATGGTCAGAAAAAGTCTTTTATCTAATAAAATAACATCCTTATGTACAGATATCAACACAAAAATGTCATGGTGAAATGTCATAACCTATGGTAGAAAGTCATTTTGTAGGTCACTCACTATCACATCAATCAGGACCTGATTGTCCAGTTTAATTTCTGGACTAACACATTTATTAGCCGTCGAAAACTTTGCGCATAAAGTTAGCCATCCTAAATATCAACAGCAGGGTAAAATAAATCCTGACAAAAACGGTAGTTTTTGGTCATTGTTATACACCGATCAATGTAGTGTTAAGAAGTAATAATTCTAAAACTTGGCATTGTTAAAAAAAGTCGGAGTTGATTACTAAGGTGCTGTTAATCGAATATGTGAAGTAAATAATCATATGTGATACGAGGGAGTTCAATAAAAGATATCCGGAAAAATTAACTCACGTAACGTACCCTTCAAGCTTACAAAGTTTCCTTGATTTGATTGTAATCAATAAATTTATTTTGAAATGTATGTCATCTGTTAACCATGAAGGTTATTTATTTAAACATAAATATTGGTACAAAGAGGCCCCAAATATATATGCGCCACATAAATCATTTGATTTGTATGAGGGCTGGTATCTTGCCCGGGCGCCCAAACCGAAACAGGTGGTTTTTCTAGGGGACCACTCCCCGAGCTTTTGACATAGAGGTCTAATCTACAAGGCTGTGGAGCAACGTTAGGCGATGCACGAACACTAAAATGATCAAACAATTCTCATAAATCAAAGTCTTAAGCAGATAAAATTCTATCTGGCTGGCTAACAGCCTGAAATTAAATTAATTCTAATAGAACCAAACGAAATCTCTTGAATATGGTTAGATTGGAGATTTATTATAGATACACAGTATATATGTATTCTAGTCTAATGATTTATTATAAATGTTTATTACCCTGGAATTGACTGATTCATTTCAATAAATTAACAAGGTAGAAATTGTTTCCAATGCCCAGTATTACCGTTTGTTAAACAAATCTACATAACAACAAAAACTATTTTATACGGTCCTAATTGTCTAGTCGACCAGCATTTGATTTGATAAGTCTTTTTTCTACGTACAATCTAGTTGTTTGAACCCAAGTTATGGTTTGTCAATTTGATTTTATTGATACTACCATACTGTTGTGTATGTACTATAAGCAAAGATGGGTGGTGGCTGGCAGTGGAATCCAGAACGTGCGTTTCGTCCCATTTGGGACTCTTCAGCTGGATGTACCCGTACCTCAGAGTTGATGTTCATTCAGGGACTGGAACTCAGTACCGTTCACTTCAAACGCCATCACATTATCCCCGTAGCTACTGAGTCCTGATAGACACTTGCTTGTGATATTGGGTGAGGTTTGAATTCACTTGGTATTGTTTGTTTGAATCTTTCCATTGATGTTTAGGACTTAGATTGATCAGTTTCTTATTAGAAAATGTACATACTTTACGGAGTGCCTCGATATAGCCTTAATTCACAAGCATTATGTGCAAGGCTAAGTGCATTCTAGTATTATAGTTTTCTCATCACATCATCGTGTATATTCACTGTTGATGTTGCTTCATGGGATTAATACTTAGGATTTCACATATATGCTAACATTAAAAGATGTAACCGCGGGTTCATTTTACTAGTTTATTTACATGCATTTCTTACGATATCTTACTCTGGTCCTAATGATCCGTCTTTCTTTTACGTTTTCTCAGTTTCCCTTACCCATCGTATTCTGTAGGTCGTCGTGGCTGAATATGTTAAGTAATAGCTTGACTACTAAATGAACATGGAGAGATGTTATTGTCAATCATAACTAATAACTAAATTCAGATTGTGCCTCCAGTAACACTATAACCTAGACTACAACAATTAAAATGTAGAAGTTTTGTTGTAACCCTAGCTAACAGATTATAATGGAGAATCCTGGGGAGTGGCCTATGCTCCTCCACGAGGTGTAACAAGAGTAAGGCAGTTACTAAGTAGCCTGACAGTGATAAAGTGAAAAGTGCGTGAAGATTTGCAACGACCTTTGGAGTTTTAACTTAAAGGGTGCATTTTAAATACTTAATTATTATGAATAGTTTATTTTACCAAATGATTATAATTGAAATTTTAGAAAGTAATAGATTTCATATCAGGATTGATCTTTCATGTTAATTGATTAGGTAGCCTGTTTCTATGGAACAGATTTAACCTTCATATTGTAGTGAACGAGAATACAAGTGGAGATAATCTAATGTATTCAAACAGAAATTTACAGAATCTCTTAGTAAAATCTGAGAACCATACAGTATATAATTCATTTGAAAAATATCAATCAATTGTCTCAGACTTGACTGATTCCTCTTTTCCACATCAATCATTCTCTGTTGTCATTTTCTTTTCTTCGATCATCTTAACCTTCTGCTGCCAAGCATTTAACTTTCGATTGATGATATATGCTACTTATATCTGTCGTCATCAGTAGCACGGACCACAACATTAAAAAAGCGGAATAATTGACACATGTTATGGATTGTTATATAAATCATTTTTTTGAATCTAAAGGTTGAATTAATTTAAATATATATTCGTTAAGTTGTATAACAGTTTATTCATCAAAAGATTCTTTTTCGAAAAATTTATTTTATTGATTTATAGAAAAAAGTTTTTCATTAGTGAATTGTGCTTGTTTTATTTTTTTTGTAACAAATAAAATATTGAAACTTTTTAGAAGTTAATTCTATGAACTTATCATATTATTAACAAACCTGATAAGATTTTTGGCTTCTATATTTGCATGAATTTCAACTTTTGATTAAAAAAAAACAAATCTTATGAGTAGTATTTCGTATAATTTATTTATCGAAGCTTCTTTAATTTTAACTTCTGTTTCTATCCAATCAGAATTTAGATTTCTCGAACTTATATGACCTTTAATACCCTGGTAACCAGTTGGATGAAACAGTACAAATATTAAAGTTAATCAATTATTTGTTTATTTATTTATAGTAATCTGTTACAATTTTGAATTGAATAAACAATT